AAAAATATCTTCCTCCTCAGTGAGCCATGAAAACAAGTCTCTCATGTTTTGTCATTCATGAAGCACCTCTTAGTTCATTAAGATCTCTTTGCTATGTGCAAAGTGTATTTTTTTCAGACTTGATGACAATAACTAAAAAATGCTCAATGTAAGATGTTCCAGTTAAAGTTGCTATGAACGCATGATATTGCAAGAACAAGCTCATTCTGTCCCAGCCTGTATGTGCATCTTTTTTAATGAAAAGAGGAAGGTTAGTTTAAAAGATGTGTGCTCGATAATTATAAAAGGAGAAGTATATTTAGTGTCAACACACTGCAGGCTGGTATTTCACACATTGCTGCACTGATATGGTACTAATGATTGCAGTTATTGGCGAAAAGAACAAAGGCTTATGAAGTGTTAGCTGTGTTAGCTAAAAGAAAGGTCTAGAACCAATTGCGTTTTAACCAACCAGCAAGCCTAATACAAATGGAAAAGCATACTCCTCAAAGAGGAATGACAAAACTTAGTAGAAGCAAATGGGGCTGGCTGGGGTATGCTGATTCAAGAATGTAGAGGTGTTCAAAACAAACTTCTGTGTTGTGTCATTCAGGGCTGTTTACAATTTTTGTAAATCATGGGACTGTTTTCAGTATCTATAAACCTCATGTTGCTTCTAGCCTCCTTGTTAAACACATTTTGCTTCTTCAACTCGAATCTGCTAAGGTATTTCTTTCATGTCTCAACCTACCTTATTGCTCCACAGCAGACATCTTCTAACATTTAACTGTACTTTTAAAGACTAGTAATAGCAAACATGCTGCCAGTTGGCCTGCTATTCTAGAATTATCACCTCTTTTTTTTTTTTTCCAGCTGTGATACATTTTGTATCTATACATCCAAATATTCCATTACAGTATGAAATAACTATCAAGGAAACAGACACCGACTGCTTCATTCTGGTTTCCACATGACATTTCTTATCACAAAATACCTTTCACATCAATACTGCCTGAGATCAGGCCTGTCGAGCTGCTTTTTTGATGGATTTTTCACAGCTCTGGAATGTCTGTTAATAATGATTGAGCTATATGGCATTTCTCAGGAACTAAGGATTGGCTAGAAAGCTCCATTGACTCAGTGCTCAGCAAAGGACTGTTCTCTCTAGCAGGTAATCAGTCCCTGGGAAATACTCAGAGGTTGCATCAACATTGTTATTATTAACAAAAATGAAATATAGAATTTGGAACATGATAATTGCTATTACCCTATATGTTCTAATTGTTCTATATTCTTCAGATTTATCATTACCTCAAATTCAGGTTAACTCATTAACTTTCTCTCCTAATTTTACTCTTTTTCAAACTCTCTTACTTACATAAAAAACCTGCAAGAATCAGTTCTAAGAGTATGTACAATTAAACACAGAACTGAACATGTATAATGCACACATGCATATATACAGTATGAGCATGTATGCATTTATATAACTTCCACTGAGACCTTGCTAGACCTTGCTACAGGATTTACCAGAAAAAAAACCCGCCTATTTTCTAGCTTAAAGTTGAACAAGCATTGCCATTGATCCACATGTGAAAGTCTCAGTGAAAACAAGCGAAAGACGTTAGAGGAAAACACAATAGGAATACTTAATTTTGTATAAGGTCTGTGCCTAAAATTAAGTATTTCACTTAACTAAATGGATATGCACTTGAGTAAAGACAACTCTGCAGGTTCTAGTTGAAACATTCATCTTCTCAATTGTTTCAGAAGCAAAATACATTCCTTACAGGATAAAACTATAGAAAAGTAGGTTGTTATTACTTACCTTAAAGCAATGTCAAAAAGTGAAGTCTTGAAAGTGGAAGGTGATGGTGCTAAACTGGGAAATCTTTCATGTTTCTCAACTTGGTAAAGACAACTGAAATAAATTAGAAATTAATTGACTTACTTCATTGAGAAAAGCTTTATTAAAAATCACATAATGTCCCAAGACGTGCCTCAGTGCTGTGTGTAATACTAATTTCTCTCAACTAGTTTTCTTGTTTCCATTACTATACTTAATGGTTTTATATTTTGATCATGGAGGTGTTCTTACAACTACATGCTATGAAGCCATTAAAACACACTGCTGCAGGTCTAGTAAAAAGGGTTCATGCCCTAGTCTAGAAAAACTCTAGTTCATTATTAGAACTCTAAGACATGGTACAGCTAAAATAAATTCAGTGCTAATATGACTAACAGGCACAGAGAGCATAACAACTAGAGTAACTTACAATTAATTAGGGTAACATGATTTTTGGCTTCTGGGTTCTGTGGGTCTGATCGAAAGTCTTATGGTGCCACAGGAAACATTTTCTTTTAAGGAGCTTCAATCACCCTCCTGTTTTCCCCAGTTCTGGGCTCTCATTCCAAGCACATGCCACTTAAGGTCATATTCTGATCGCATGGACTTGAATCCTGCAAATGTTAGATTCTAGCCAAAATCCTTTGACATTTTTTGCTATAGGGGAGTTCTTAAGGAAAACCCCAGGAACCCAGCAAAACAAGAAACTTGTACCACAGTTAGTCAGGATTAATAGCCCATAAAATAAATCATTTTTTGATGTTATTATTTCTGCACATGTATAGCACTAATCATGCAAAATATTTAAGCAGCTTTTTAGCAGTCAGATCAACAGGGAAACTTGCATAATCTTAAGCGCCTGACAGGACTGGACCTTAAATGTCTCTAGATGCAATAATAAGTATGGAACAGATTCATTTTGTGCAGTATTTTCAGCACAAACTGCATCACAAAGTGTTAAATAATAAATAATAGCAGAGAGAAGTATACACAAGGGAGGAATGATATGATTTCAGAGGAGACTTGAAAGGGGATGTTGATGAGGTAGAGGTTTTAAGAATTAAATATTAAAAACCAAGGCGGCTGGTTTTGGCTGGGACTGATTGTTTTTCTCTGCTGAGAAATAAAGGGGCTTTCTAACCTACCTCCTGGACAAGGATGGAAGGCTTACTGTCAGACTGTTCAGTGGAATCATCACTGTACTTAAGAGTCTATTTTTAAGAGAAGGCAAAGGATTGCAATTAGCTAACTACAGCCTTCTCCGATTCCAAACGTCTGCTTTGTCCTCTGCCTCACCTTTCTGTTTATTTACCACTTAACAACTCGACACGGAATCAGCCGAAGTTCCTGAAGTGTGGCGGCAATATAGCCCCCTCGCAAGAGCAGGTGGGAGAGGAACGGTCGCGTGCCATTGCGGAGCCCCCGCGCACCAGCCCCTCTCCCCAGAGACATTCACAGCTCGCAAGGCCGGAGCGAGGGTATCACAGACGTGCCCCCGAGGAACGGGAACCACGCTGTTAAATCCCGGCATAATGGGCCTATTTCCTACATTTGGTGGCAGCATAGTATTCAGGATAATATTATCGCTACTTGCACAGGTTATTGCCAAACCAGAAGATGGAGATGAGAGAGTTAAATAATAGGGATGGGGAGTGAATCACTAAAAAGTCTTTCCCAGAGTCAGTTCTCTGTTTGGGGGAAGTTATTTTAATTCTGCGTCTCGCAAACAACCCGCAGCCTCACTGTTTCCTCTGGAGCCAGCCTGACTGACATTGTAACAAGATTTTTAAATAAATGATGTGCAGGGGCAGCTCCCGTTTAGCAGGCATAAAGGTAGCCCCGCTCTGAAGCGCGCAGTACCGGTAACGCTGTACCTGTGCACGGCGCGGCGGGCTGAGGGCAGCGCCCGCTCCCGCCCATGGTTTAGCGGCGGTGCGGCCCCATGGACGCCGCTCCGCCGGGAGGACCT